GAGCTTCTGGAGACCATCGAGTTCCCCAATGATCGATACGAGCGGCTTCTGCGTGTTTCCAAAGAAGCGCGTATGGTAGGTGGCTCTTTACTTTAAGGGCTAAGCAGCTTCATTGACACCATGATTACATCAGCTGGCAATACGCCAACAGGAGATACCGCTCCCTGGTATCGAAGATGAACCAACGACCACTTTGCAGCAGGGCAGCAAGGGCGCATCAACTAATGGCAATCATTTCGCCGGTTCTCAAAAGAGCCAAAGTAATCAACTCATTGGAGGAAGCCAGCTCCTTCTTGGAAGCCAAGTATTCTTACAAAGCAAGTTTGGTGAATCATCAGCTGCAACCAACAACATATACTTATCACGATCAGAGTCCGCTGCTGCAGACGCCAGAGAGGCCGATGAACTCGCTAAACGCGAAGAGAGGATTCTAAAAGACCAATTAGCCAAGTCTGCAGCAGCAATCTTGATCCAAGCCGCCTTTCGAGGATGGATTACACGGAGGAAGTACATTGCAGTAATGTATCACCGGTTGACGATGGAGTCTTTAACGAGTGGTGGGATCAGGAGAGTCGATGCTCTGCCTGATATTGCAGATTTGACAGTTCAGGTATATTCTTCAGTCATAAATTGGATGCTGACCGTCACAATTAACAAAAGGTGATGCCTTTTAGGAAAAACTACTGAGACGGTACCGGGCTTATTGCCGATTCCATGAGGCACAAGGCCGTCCACCGCCCGATTTCCCATACTTTTGTGCTTCCTACATTCAAGCCGTGTTTCGGGCGTCAGTCATTCGTCAGCAGTGGCGGAAACTGAAGGGTATGACGCACGAGGAAAAGACCGGTGTAGCGGGAAAAGAGGCGCGTCATGCTATGGTACGACGAACAGAGCGATATGAAGCTAACAGCTTCGTTAGAGCTGCAAAGATTATACAGCGAGCCTGGAGAAGTTACTACGTAAGAACTATTATGAGACTTATTAATTGATGTTGATGATCACAAGAGCTTACTTCAATAACTTTGAATTAGTCTGTGAAGATCTTCTGTTTCTATCGGGATCTAATCAAGTTTCGAGAAAAAGGCGACCCAGCCAAACTTCTCAAATTTATCAACCCAAAGGAGGCAAAACTGATAGACTCCGCTTCTGGTATTCACGTTCGTTTCCGGCTTGGCGGTGTATGTCATTATAAAAGTGTTTTCAACCGATCTGATAGTTCCTAACCTTCAATAACCACAGCACTCCTTTCCGCCAACAATATACTACAAGATCTTTATTCACAGAAACTTGGTTGATATGAACGCTTTCAGTCCTCGCAATTATACGCAGCTAGAAGCTAAACAAACAGACCCTAAAATTCTGTTTAACAAATGCGGACCTTTGCCCAATAGCAAACAGTTTGGTATGTATTAAAGCAATGATTTTAAGCGCAAGCGGACGCTAATCATTTTATTCGCTGTAGACGGGTGGTATAAAAGGTTTGAGAACAACGGATGGAGACCTGTGTCAGACAAAATATGGGATGAAAAACGAGACCAAGTTACTCAAGATACTACACGAGTTTTGCCGTTTCATTTTTCGAAATTGAAGCGTAGACAAGAGTTAGAGCGAGCGAAAAGGCAAAAGAAACTCGAGTGGCTTAAAAGGCTGTACGTACTCATATTACCTTCGAGTTCATACGCTGTGCTAACATTACCAATCTAGATACCAAGAGGGAAAGAGGAACGTGTCTGGATACCAACAATCGGATGCAGACGCTGTCAGCAACATCGAATCTTTCTCAAATGTGAATGACACCCAAACAAAAGCTAACATAGAAGATCCAGTTGAAAACTTGGACACCGAAGAAGACATTTTGAAAGCCATTCACGACCTTGAGAACGAGCTTGATCACGAAGTTTTAACAAAATGGGCCACAGCTCTCGATTTCGATGATTATGTTTTAAACTGGATGTCAATTTCGACAACCGGTCGCTCGGACGATCCGTCTTCGTTCGATATTATTATTCGGGAGACAATTGGTGGTGGGCACCTAGATCAGCACGTGCATCACGCCCATGACGACTCTACAACGGGTGGCATGCGCAATTCCAAAGCTGCAGTTGTCGGAGATCCTATGATGGCTGAGATTGACCTCTTTAAAAAGATCACAGAAGAGTCAGGCATGCCGAATGTTGCCACCGACACTTTTCTCGGTGCGCTGTCGGATATGGTCGAGGGTACGAGCCAAGGGAGCAAGAGCCGACCTTGGTCTGCGCGGTCTGGTAGAAGCTTTGATGAGATGTTTTTGACAGATCCGGCTCAAGAGTTATAGGGCTTAAAGTGAAGAGTTTTGTGTATCTAAACCGTGTAACAGTGAATTAATTAAAGCATTCCCGACAGAACTGAGTGGCACGCCGGACAGGTTTTATAATGCGGAGGATAGCCTTTCCCCTAAAGTAATATCAAAATTGAGCTGGGAAGCTCATTTGATCACCAAAAAAGTTGCCATATTTTGCACGTCATACTTCTTGGGGCTCTTCTTGGTGGTCGATGCCAACTACGTCCAGCCATATCCACAGAGCTGCGCAACGACATTGCTCTCCGTGGTGCCCTTGGTAACACGTGCTGGTCAAGCATGCTGCCCATGGCGTGGCTCCTGGGGGGTTGGGTGTGCGCTGTGCAACTTAGGTCTCCTTGTTGGACTTGTCAAAAGTTTGTCAGGATGCTCTCCAACATAATATTGGAGATAGTGTATGTAAATGTACATAAGTTTCATTGGCGAGATGGCCGAGCGGTCTAAGGCGCTGCACTCAAGTTGCAGTATCGCAAGATGCGTGGGTTCGAATCCCACTCTCGTCATTCTTTTTTTGAACTTTTCCCAAGCGAATCCTTCCTTTTTTGGGCTTGAGTCGCGCTGGAGTAGGTTTAGTAAGCTGCCGCGGTTTCCAAGAAGTCTCTCTCTAAGTGAAGAAGTGAGAAGAATTTTTAACGCGAAAGTCCTTTTCTTCAGTCACCTATGATCTAACGAGACCTCAACGTTAAAGGAAGTCCCTCCGATCAGCCCTGCGCGACGGGATCTCTTCTCGGCTCTTGTATGTTTCTGTAAGGCTAGTCCGCTTTCTCCATGTGGCTAATTGTTGCTATGTACCTTAAGGTGAATTCCACTTGAGAGATAGCGGCCATCAACAAAAAAGGCAATGTTCTGAACTTCTGACCAACTCTCTAGGAGCTACGCGCTGTGGAAGCGTGTAGATGTGTCCAAGTCCAACGATAGTGTGATGGTGGTTGTTTGGAGTTACTTGGTGATTGATGCGGGTGGAAGAGAAAAACCTGCGCGAATTGCTTCAGCCAAGAATTAAGATGGCGGCGACATCACCACGACGGACGCCGACAAGTCGAGGACCACGCGGCGTTATGGGTGTACTGCTAGTTACGGCGGCTTTCATGCTCGCTCTGATACAGCAGGCATCGGCAATCTACCAAGATCAAGTAGGCTTGTTCGATTGGTGAGTGTTGGTTGGGAAATGAGCATGTGGCAGTAGTGGGATACATGGCGATCAACCTGCATTGAGGTTCTCTGCCCCCAAACTCCCCATTCTGCCTTACCCAGAAAGAGCTTATGGAAGAATCAGAGCTGCCGAATGCTGAATGAATGCGAGATCTGCCTATGGAGATGTCTCTTTAACCCAATGTTAATGTCATGGTTAGGCATAAGGAACTCGTAGGCGTCCCCAAATTCAGCACCATCCAACGACTGGGAAAGAGAGCATCCATCTTCGTCGGTACAGAGAAGAACGTTATTGCTTCACTGAATCCAAAGACTGGCTCCATTGGTAAGACGGATAAATGTTTGACAGTTTCCATATCACCAAACTCACCTCATTCTCGTCCCATACCAGCTTGGCGCCAGGTTTTGAATCAAAACGACAAGTTGCTGTATATGACATCTGATGACCAAAGTGAGCATCCAATTGATCAATGGCCCTGATATTACCTGCTCTAATTATGTGCCTTTATGCAAAGACGTCCTCACCATCAGCGGCGTCAAACAACCTCATGTCCGTGTCTGGGACGCTTCCACGGGCCACCTGATCTGGGACCACGAGTCAGAACCCACAGAATCCAACGACCCTCTTCGCGGCGGTGCCAACATCGCCTATGCACCCAGCTCCTCTTCAGTCGACGACATTGTGTTCCTCGCTCCGGGGGGCTTTGTAAGCCGCATCAG